TCAATTTTGGCTAAACCAATTGTGATTGACCAGGGCTCGAAAGAGAGCCACGGAATGCAAACAGTCGTGATGTCAAAGGTCGACGTCGTGTAAGACGCTTGTCTGCTCAAGGCGAACGTTTTTTCTCAATACGAACCAAACGAGGTTAGGGCTCGTTCAGGCATGGCTGAATCGACTGGAATTATATTGGCACCATGTTTACAGAGTAAGACCCGCCGCTTGTCGGGCCTACAAACCGGTTTACCAGAGAGACATTGAAAAAATCTGTACGTTTGCAAGTCGGATCAATTCTGGGGATAAATTGTTTGTCGTGGCGTTCCTGATCTGAACTTTAATTTGTTATTGTTCGATGTTGATTGGAATACTTTTCAGTCTCATCGTTCTGAAAGAAATGCCATGTTTTACGTACTTTGAGGTTCTAGCAATATTTAATATTGTAAAGGGGAAAAAAGAATAAATAAAAATTTGCCAACTTGGAAGTTTTCAATAACATTTCTTGTTGCGTAGTACAGGATAGAAATATCTCCACTTAGCCTATTTATCTATATTTGCAAAAGTTAAAAACAAATCCCAAACTACATTTCATATAACGATTACTAAAAAACAATATTTAAAATGACCAATAATAGCACAATGTTCAATACAAAATATTGTTTAAACAGTTTCATTGAGATATATTTGCAAGAAAATACCACGTTTGACAAAATAGCACAGTTTTCTTGAATAAAAAAAACCTATTGTTAAATTATTTGAAAGCGTAAACGAAAGAAAGAGAGAGAGAGAAAGAGAGAGAGAGAGAGAGAGCGAGAGAGAAAGAAAAAGACAGATTAAGAAAGATGATGTAAACCAGTAAAAAAGGAAGAAGGGAAAGTTAGATAGAAACAAAGAGAGAGAGAGAAAGAAAAAAGGCAGTTTAAGAAAGAAGAAAATGTAAAGAATTAAGAAAATAGTGAATAAAATAGTTATGTAGATAGCGATGAATAGAAATAGAGATGTAATATTTAGATAGAGAAAAAGTGAGAGAGTGAAACAAAGGCAGAGAAAGTGAGAAAGAAAAAGACTGATTAAGAAAGAAGAGGATGTAAAGAAGTAAAAGTGATAGAGTGAAAAGTTAGATAGATAGCGATAGATAAAAGTAGAGATAAAAAGAGAAACAAAGAGAGAGAGAAAGAAAAAGGCAGATTAAGAATGAAGAAAATGTAAAGGATTAAGAAAAGAGTGAATATAATAGTTACATAGATAGCGATAAATAGAAATAGAGATGTAATATTTAGAGAGAGAAAAAGTGAGAGAGTGAAACAAAGGCAGAGAAAGTGAGAAAGAAAAAGACTGATTAAGAAAGAAGATGATGTAAAGAAGTAAAAGAGGTAGAATAAAAAGTTAGATAGATAGTGATAGATAAAAATATAGAGTAAAAAAGAACCAAAGAGAGAAAGAGAGAGAAAGAAAGAGAGAGAGAGAGAGGGAGGGAGGGAGAGAGAGCGAGAGAGAGAGAGAGAGGAGAATAAAGAAAAAAGGCGTTTGAAAACATAAAATGATATAAAGTGAAAATGAAAGAGTTATATATCTGGAGATGGAAATAGAGATAGGTAGCGATAGAAGAGAATAGACAAGATATAACAGCTTTTACTTTGTGCGATAAACATTTCGGAATATATCGGCTAAATAATTTTTTATTTTATTTTTATAAAACTTCATTGTCTTGGAACTGGGACAGTAGATTGCCAGATTACCTGAACGCTTTATTGGTCTTACTGGCTTACTGGTCCAATTTTCATTTCTTGAGTAATGAAAAGTGTTTATGAAATTTCAAAAAAGATTTAATAATCCAAACTATCTGCAGTTATTTGCTCGAAATGTCAAGAGATTGTCTGGTTTAACTTCTTTTAAAGGTTCTTAATAACATTTCTAAAATTGTTGGATTCATCTCATGCCATTTTATGATAAACAGGTTTAATATGTCAATGATCAAGTCCAATAATGACGTTTGAAGAGTAACACGTATAAAAGAAGCTTGAAAAAAAAAAACTTAAATTAGCGAAATGCCGAAACATGTTTGAAAGACAGAACTAGCGACGATAGGCGGACCGAGATCGGAAAGACCTAATTTCAGTTCACTGGAGTTTTAATATCTAAGCCACTTCCATGCTTTGGTATGTTTTCTTAGTCTCATTTCCATTACGTTTCACATGCTGAACTGTGTCAGAACGTGTGAAAATTATTATGAAAGTTGTGACTGACAGTCAAAAGGAAAAGAAAACGAATTGCACAAGAGTTATAATAAATTCCACTTCAGCAATTATTAAAAGTCATGATTCAGTCGATTCGTCATCCTCGGGGAAAAAAATCTAAAAGATGCCTAGATACACAACATGATACAGAGAGAAATTATTTTTAATTTAAAAAAATTGAATCTATTGGAACTTTTTTGGAAAGACGGCAATTTTCTCCAATAAAGAATATTCAGATATTCCCCATTCGGATAAAACCTTTGTAAATAGTTCACCAACTTACAAAGACTACCCAATTTAATTTTTTTAAAGAAAGGCTTTTTGTTTTTCAACACTGTTGCGTTCAACATTAATCCACAAATTTTTATATTTATTTTATAAAAATTTTCCACTTTTATGCAGAGAAATGAGGAATAATTTTAATTGCTTTTATAATTTTAATAATGTAAAACCTTATACGTTTAGAATTTCTATGCTAACCTTCTCAACATTGCACCCTTTCGTAATTCTAAGTTGTTTTCTACACTCGGGGTGTCAAGAGTAATTCCATTATCACCCTTGCTGAAATCGAACTTAATTAATTATACTAATTGCCTCGAGACTTTACTGTTTTTACGGAAGGTTTATATTTAAGTTTATTCCAATGCTAAATAAACTTTTCGTTGATCGAGTCATCTTAAAAAAATCGTTAAATTACTTGTTTTTTGAACATTGCCAATAGTTATCCTGATGATACAATTGTTTCCTTTTATTGGATAACTTCGTGTCATATGTTCGAAATTTTTATTCCGTCCAGTTAATCATTTTGAATAAATTTGGCCGGAAGAGATGTCAATCTTTGTACGCGATAAGCCGCCGTTTATTTAAGGGGTGAGATAGCACTTTCCGGCCCAAGATTTAAAAAAATTCTTGACCCGCCATTAGAAAATTTAAAGGGATCAAAGGAGTTTTGGAAACATCGTTTGGCAGAATTGCGTTTCCCCTCCATAGGAAGTTGTCCACAAGGAAGTATTCTTATCCGGTGGGGAATTGGTGAATTTGGTGAACTTCGTCTAGGGGTTACTTTGACTTCCCACAGCTCCGTGATGCTATTAAACTGAATCAATTTGTTACCCTTTGAAAGCTAATTACTAAAAGAAATATCTTAAAATTCAACCGCATACTAAACATGGCAAGCAGTCAGGAATCAATTACCTACCATAAGATAATGCAATTGATTATTGCCAATTAAAATGAAGAAATCTGAAGGTACTGTGCTTTATTCCACTCTCAATTTTTTTTAACAGCATAAACAAAACAAGTGATCTCCATAAGAGTATTTTCGGTTAGGAAGAAAGCGAAATTGGACGAAGCCAAAGAGAACCAGTTTTTTTACGGGGATTCTGAAAAGCAGAGGTCATAACCTGGGTGCTGGAGTTTTTACAAGAAAAGCCAATTTGTAAGAATGTTGGGTTCAAATTCAGGACCTCTGGATTCGAACCCAGGACCTTTACCTTACAGGATGAGTCGTAGACCACAAACAGCTGAATTTGCGAGTGGTTTGTAAGGTTTGTCGCTCTTGAAAGATAGGTAAAAACAGAAATTAGATCTTAAATTGATGTTGTATCCAATCAATAAAGAATCAATTGTTCATCGAACGCTGATACAATTATTGTCTTTGTGCCCGTTTCTACCTTTATTGAGATCATCTTCAGGGCTCAAAGGGTTTGTTTTCCGTGTAGATGTATCATTCTTGTCTGTCGTGTGAGAGTGCCCAAACACCCACGACAGACAAGAATGTCACATCTACACGGAAAACAAACACTTTGAGCCCTGAAGATGATCTCAATAAAGATCGAAACGTTGGCACGATAAAGAAAATATATTTCTAAAACCTACGTGGGCACACTCAGCACGACAGACAAGAATGACACATCTAAACGGAAAACAAACACTTTGAGCCCTGAAGATGATTTCAATAAAGATCGAAACGTTGGCACAATAAAGAAAATGTTTTTCTAAAACCTACGTGAGTTCACTCAGCACGACAGACAAGAAGGGCACAATTACGCATAAAACAAACACTGAGCACTGAAGATGTTCTCAATAAAGATCGAAACGTTGGCACGATAAAGAAAATGTTTTTCTAAAACCTACGTCACACCAGACCGCGTCTCACGACCTCCAAATAATCATTGGCTAACGGTCACTAAACACCACACATTTATAAATTAAATCGGATTCGTAGGCTGTTGGTATTGGGTCTTTGATTTTGTAAAAAAACGTATTTACTGTTTTATGTTTTAAAAGCTATTTGAGTATGTTCTGAGGAGATAAATTTACTTAATTTGTGTGACAATGTGTGGCCGAACGGAATGGACATGTATATTGGTTTGTCTTTGTATGATTGTGGATATTGTTTTGTGTAGTGCTGGCTTACAATTGTTGTTGATTATCTTTTTGAATGCAATACTTGGTTCAAAATTTATATTTACATCTTAAATTGTTTTTTTCCGATCAACTTGTTTTGTAATTTACCTAGACCCTGAAGATGACCCGAATAAAGGTCGAAACGTCAGCGGAAAAAAAAATGAAAAAGATGTTTTTCTAAACCTCATTCTTGACCGTTCCTCACGACTTTAACAAATTTATTTTACAATTTTTTTATATTATTTTTATTGTACATACATTTCGAGGCTAATTTGTACCCCCTCTTCGCCCTCTTTAATACTTTACTTATAAAACATAATAAATGATTACACATAAGGTAAACGCTTGAAAACAACTAGAAAACAAATAGGTTTGTGCGACTGATGATTACTTCGATTTGAACGAAGATGAAGGGATAAGATATGGCACGAATCCAACAGCGAAATATCAAGGACAGTCCGTGAAAATGTATTGCTGGAGAAAATTGCTTTTATCTTCTCTCGTCCCTGAGAAAGAAACGGAGAGAGGGAACGGGTTAACGTGGATGACTCAACATCCGAGATCTGGGGGTCCCGATTTTCAGTGAACAACATGGAACTGAACCGGTTGCACCTCTTTGCTCTCCTCCTTTCTGCAAGTAGGTCACGCTTCATCTAATTTTTTTTGCCCATCTCTCTTCTATTTGTGCACTATTTACCCTTACACTATTAGTTCATTATGTTGCGTCATAACGCTAAAATCGGTCATCGACGAATGCCAAGAATCTTTAAAGGGGCCTTTTAAAGAAAGAAATATTTAAAAAACAAAACAACCTTTGCCAATTTTATAGGGCGCGACATTAAAAATAAGGGACGCTATTTCTGCCCATCTTCGCGATCATGAGAAAACAGATTTTATTTTGAAATATCTCACAATACAAGTAAAATCCTTTCTTCGTTTTAAAGCGAAAGTTGAAATTGTCATAACCGTCTTTTTAAAACCTAAATATAAGAACAAAGCGAAAACCATTCTGGAATGAATATTTTTCCTTTCAAACCCTGCTTTACAGGAGAGTTTCATATTGGCACATATATAATTTGTGATGTGTGTGGTGATTAGTGACCGTTAATCGATGATTATTCAGAAATCGTGAGATGCGGTCTGGTGTGATGTAGGTTTCAGAAAAACATTTTCTTTATCGTGCCAACGTTTCGATCTTTATTGAGATCATCTTCAGGGTCTGGGATTTACAAACATTGTTTACATTTAATAAATACATTTTGGATGTGGAAAAGTGAATTTATAAAATGCAAAATATATTTTTTATATATTCAATTAATGTATTTCTACTCACTCAAAGTGTTTGTTTGTTGCCAAACGGCACAATTACACAGAAGACAAACACTTTGAGTGAGTAGAAATACATTGATTGAATATATAAAAAATATATTTTGCATTGTATAAATTCACTTTTCCACATCCAAAATGTATTTATTAAATGTAAATGTTTGTAAATCCCAGGCCCTGAAGATGATCTCAATAAAGATTGAAACGTTGGCACGATAAAGAAAATGTTTTTCTGAAACCTACATCACACCAGGCCGCATCTCACGATTTCTAAATAATAATTTGTAATTAATTATTTTATATATTTTTATAAATTTTAATTTTCATAGTCACAAAACTAAATCAAATTGACTATGTCTCTTCAATAAATATTTTTATCTCTATGTCTTGACTTAGGAATTGTTACTAATTCAGACACACAAACACAAATAGTCACAATAAATACTCAACACATTTTTTTATATTTTTTAAAAATTATTAATTAAAACTGGTTTTAAAATAAACCTTGTTCAGCCATTAATTTTTCATTCGTTATTAATTATATCTAGTTAATACAAAGTTCAAGTTTTCATATTCCAGTCTTGTAAACCGTCTTTCTAAAAAACGTAATATGAGAACAAACCGAAAACCATTCTGGAATGAATATTTTCGCTTTCAAACCCTGCTTTATAGAAGAGTTTGATCACTGGCACACATATAATTTGTAATTTCTAATATTTGATATATTTTTATAACTTTTGATTTTCATATAGTCACAAAACTAAATCAAATTAACTATGTTTCTTCAATCAATATTTTTATCTATATGTCTTGACTTAAGAATTGTCGCTAATTTAGACACACAAACACAAATTGTCACAAAAAATACTCAACACAATATTTAAAAAAAATCAATTTATTAATTAAAGCTGGTTTAAAAAGAAAACCTTGTCCAGCCATTAATTTTTCATTCATTATTAATTATAACTAGTTAACAAAAAGTTTTCATATTCCAGTATCACGAACCGTCTTTCTAAAAAACTAAATATGAGAACAAAGTGAAAACCGTTCTGGAATGACTATTTTTGCCTTTGAACCTGCTTTATAGGCAAGTTTTATCACTGTCATATGTATAATTTTTAAGCCAATGATGTGTGCCTTCTGTTTGAGATATATACAGCCCTAACAATTTTTTATGGTCATCAGTAGTTAACCCATGTAGTGTGTAGACTGCCTTATTAATCTAGTGACCATCATCATTTTGTAATCAATGGCATTGAACCAGACAAAATGATAGACAGCAACCAAAGGGTGTTATAATATTTTATATATATATTTTTATAATTTTTCATTTTCATTTAGTCACAAAACTAAAACAAATTAACTATGTCTCTTAAATGTTTTTATCTATATATTTTGACTTAAGAATTGTCGCTATTTCAGACACACAAACACAATTTTCCGCCTAAACAATACCCACACAAACAATATTTCATATAAAATACGCACAAAATAAAAAACACACAAACACAAATAGTCACAAAAAATACTCAACATAATTATTGCTTTTTAATCAATGTATTAAAAAAAAAACTTTTCCAGCTATTAATTTTTCATTCATTATTAATTATATACTCAAAACTAGTCTCAAAAAAAAGTTAAGAATAAAGCGAAAACCATTCTGGAATGAATATTGATTGTCTCAGATAATTCTGATCTGCCTACTCTACTGAAACATGTCTGATATTTTGGTCGTTACTGATTATTTATAATACATCAAGGATGATCAGACTAAACTCATTGGTTATGATAATATTACAATTTCATTACCTGTATTGAGAAATCTACTGCAGACATTGGATTTGTACCAAAGGGGGAATTAAACTTTCAACAGGCAACCCTGGAAAGCTCAGCTTTTTACTTATCCAGACTTACATAAAACTTGAGTATAATTATGAAGTAGCAGAGCATTTTTATATACACACACACACAATACACATATTCAACTAATAGAGCAACAAAAAATTTTTTATGTAGGCTGAAAAAAATCGTTGACCAGCCAGTTTCAAGTAGGATTGATACATAGTCACATGTAAGTTTTAATTTTGAAATATACTTGGGTAAATTATTAAAACTGTCATGTAAACCAACCATAGTTGAAAGAATTAAACAGTTTCAAATCTCTCCATTGTATCAAGGTGCAAAAAAAATCCTGTGAAATATGCTTACTTCATCATGAAGTACCAAATATCAAGCAGTTTCAATAATACCTCTCTGATTTATTACTGTTTTATTTATGTTTTAAATAATAATATAGGGCTTATTAATTAAATATCAAATTGTCAAGGTGACAGCAAAATTCTACATTTGACGAGTTCCTAGCTTAGTGCCCTTCTTTCCTTTGTGCTGCATGTCTAGTCTACAGATTATGTTGTTTTAACATAACCTTGTAGCTTTGTTTTGGTGTTTTATAACTCCTAAATCCAGCGTTCTAAACCGGTTCTCAGATTTTTTTTATTTAATTGTCATACAATTTTGCCATATTCATGGTCACAAGTGAAAGTTGTTATAAGTCAGGATTGTAGGTGTAAGATTGTTAAGGTAGATCAATTTAACTGTTTTTATGTCTGTAGCATGTTTTGCACCAAATAAAGTAAAATTAAGCACCAGTAATCATTACAGATCACTAATTTTAAAAAAAATTTTTTTAAGAAACTGAAAACTCTTCTTTCCTACAGGCCTCCGTGTATGAATTAGCTGTAACTTTGATGAAAATCTGTCAATGTTTATCAACACTCAGATATTGATTTTAAGAAAGTATTATAGACTAAAAATTTAGCCTAAAATGTAAACATTTTATGAAAATATTATAGCAGAAATACGACCTTTAACTCATGAACATGTCCTTGCCACAGTCAGCCTAAATTTCATAAATTTTAAATTTAGCATCTAGTAAATTTCCAAACGTTTTGCCATGTTGTTCTTGGATGTGTTAAAACACATAATAAAAAAGCCTATACAATGTAGAAAATTATATTTAATCAGCATTTTGACTGTCTGAGATTATCCTACGATAATAAATAGATACAGATAATAGATATACAGCTCTGCATGATTTAAAATAACCAAAAGCATACATTGACATTTTTAATTTCTAGTATCATTGTTTTTAAAATGGAAATCACTTTCAAAATGTTCAAAAAAATTAGATCCTCTAAAATTCGATTTGTTCTGGAAATATTGAAAAGTTCGCCTTCAGCTTCAGAACTCGATAATTTCAATTTATCTATCATGTAACTGATTGTTGTTGTCTAAAGTTAGGTTTAAAAAATTAACATAAATTAACAAAAATTGGGGAATGAAGGAGTACCACCCAGTACTTTGTCAAATTTTTCAGCCGGTATTCAGAGGGTTAAATTTTATATATATTTATTATTAGTTATTTTATATTTATTATGTTATATTTTGCTCAATTAAATTTTAAATTTGCTCCTTTTTTTAACCAATGACCCAATAAATTGAAATTACCAAGTGCTAAAAGAAAAATGTCTCCAAGATGAGTTGATGAATTTTTTAGTTTCTGGTATATTTTTTTTCGAATGGAAAGGATTTTCAAAATGTGTGAAAAAATATGGAATAACGTTTGAAAAATAGAAATAAAAGTTGATCACCAGATTATTAAACTTCACCAATTTATTAAAATTCTAATAACACCAGCATTATTCTTCGTGATAAATGATGATTCTTTACCTTTGTAACCATACTTAGTTGTACAATAAAATAAACAGTGTAAAAATAAAAGGGCATATTTTTTTATATAAAAACTCATATTATATTATATTATTGCCATCATTAAATTTCCGGAAATACTTATTTTATCTTTTGTAATTTTTTTCAGTTTGTGTAATCAGTGTGAAATCTTTTGAACTGTCAGAATCAGCCCTCAAAACAACTGAATCTGATATTTCGAAGGAAACTGTGTCTGAGGAGACAAAGGAGAATTCAAACGAGAATGCCATCGAGGAGCAGAACGAGTATGAAAAAAAGGGCCTGAAGCCAGTCGTCGAACCGCCTTTTATTAAAACTTTCATCTCATCGCTCTGCGGCTTTGGAGCCTGCAATCCAAAGCCGAAAATGGACTCGACGACAAACTACCCTCAGAGTGAAATCACCACCGGCTCGATGGAATCGTCTGAGTCAAAGGAGACGAGTGAACCGCCCAAACAAGAAGGGACAGAAAAGTACACAGTGTACACGCCAGACGAAACGATTCTTGGCGAGACGACTTCGGAATCGCCCCCATCAGAATTCACTACTGAATAATTTCCACCGATAGCTATCTCCTCCTAAGACTGAATTTTACTATTTTAACGTTACCTTTTTTAATTAGTACAATTAAATAATAAACTTGTCCAAATGTAAATCAATACTTTTAAATCAAATGGTTTAAAAATATATTATTTTCAGTATGATTCAGAATGACATGTGCCATGTTTTATGGTTAATGATTACAAAGTACAACAGTTAGAAAATACATATAAACACATATGTTTATTGAATTATTGCTTAAACAATGAGCTGTGAGTACTGTCCTACTGACAGATATTAAATTGAAAAAGTATACATTGACCAAAAAATGTATTTGTTTGATTTTTGATTTAATATCATTTTAATATCTCGACATGTGTAGTGTTTAGTTTTACTTGTAAGGCTAGGTTAGAATAAAAATTAACAACATATATTGTAAATTGTTATGGACACTTCCCTTATGGATAATGCATCTATTGGCAAATTAAATTAAATTATTATTAAGTTAGAAATGAGATCAATATGATTGTCTGTTGGATACCTCAAACAATTACAAATTTGATACAACTTAGATTTCACCTAATAGATAAGATAAATGTGCAAAATTGTACTATTCCAGGTATAATAAAATTGAGTTAATTTTTTAAAATAAATGAAGACATGTTTTATGAATAATTACTTTCTAGTACTTAGTTCTAACCTTCATCATGACATTTAACAATAAGTGCAGTGGCATTATTTACAATTAAGTAACTGGTACACACATAACTAAATGGTACATAAATGCAACAACATTTCCACATTGGTGGTCTGCTGGAGTTGGTCCTTCTAAATCATTTAGTTTTGTATCACAATTATTTTTTTCTTAACTGGTTATGAAATAATAGGTTAGTTATATAAGTGAAAAGGGTGATGGAGGAATATTGAGTAACTGAGTGAATATAATGTAAATAAGAAAAAATGTATTTAAAAGTGAGTGAGAGTGTGATTGGGTTTGGATTTGAGAACTGATTGCATAGAAGGCAGAAATGACCTAGCTGTTGAGAGCCCCCGGAGCCCAACCTCCAGAGGCTGGATGACTGAAACCGAGGTCTGACCCTGGACTGCCAACACTCGAGTGGGTGGTTCTTAAGACCTGCTAGTAATTTACTAAGGTACAGTTTTGCCAATGGACCAAGAATTGATGCACGCATTTATACATGTTTACATAAATCATTCAAATATTCATTATGCATGTAGCATTTTCTAAACTCAGTGAAGACATTGTGATAGAAAATGGGTGTCGTGTCGGCTTAGCACAATGAGCTCTTAAATTTGCTTTCTTGTAAATTTTGTTTTGTTTTTGGGGAAAATGGTAGCCGAGTGGTCAGCAAGATAGTCCTAGGTTCGTATACTGCACGGTAGTGGGTTCAATTCGCACCATTGCCCTTGGATTTTTCTATCACTCTCCCTTTTTTCCGTATAAATCATTTAGCACAGGTTGTTAAGCTAATATGGAAAACATAAGGCCGTTAAAAAAATAAATTAAAATAAAAAATTGTTTTCCTTCCTTACAATTCTAAAATTTAAGTTTAGTAATTGAGTCCTATTTTAAAGATTCTGAATAATTACAATTAATTAAGGTTTTTAGTTAAGATAAAAAAGTCAATGGCACGAGCGGGATTCGAACCCATGACCTTCGGTTAGATACACCGCTGCTCTACCACCTGAGCTATCGTGACCTCCATCCACTCCGACATCAACTTCCTATCTCAACCACACCTTTTGAATTTTCCCTCCTTTTTGCCATTTTTCGAATTCCGCTCGTGCCATTGACGTTTTTATCTCAACTAAAAACCTTAATTAATTGTAATATATTACTTGGTCAAGCGGATCACGAAATTAGTGAATTCTGAATAATAAACAACAAAATTTTTTTAATTTAATTTTATCCTTGGGGTGTCAGTGGATTCAAACCCGGGATCTTTACACTGATGAGCTCAGTGTAACACCTAAACCATTGCAGCCACCAATGCCTCTAATAAATTATTATCATTTATATAATCTGCCATTTTAAAGTTCAATTTCAGGGGCATTGGTGGCCGCAACGGTTTAGGCACTGATCACTGTAAGGTAAAGGTCCCGGGTTTGAATCCACGAACCGACATACTTGCAAATCGGCACCCCAAGGGTTCATATAACCTGGTAGTTGAAATAGCCTCGTTAAAAAATATAAAAATTTAATTCCCTAATTTTGTGGTCCGCTTGACCAATTAATATATTATAATTAATTAAGGTTTTTAGTTGAGATAAAAACATCAATGGCACGAGCGGGATTTGAACCCACGATCTTCGGCTTGATACTCCGCTGCTCTACATTGCTTTGAAAAATGGCAAAAAGGAGGTGCGGTTGAGATGGGAAGTTGGTGTCCGAGTGGATCGAGGTCACGATAGCTCAAGTGGTAGAGCAGCGGCTATCAAGCCGAAGATTGTGGGTTCAAATCCCGCTCGTGCCATTGATGTTTTTATCTCAACTAAAAACCTTAATTATAAAAATTTAAACAAGACCACCCATCGCTCATTATTGCGCGCTGGTTGGCCTAATATTAATTTCCATTTTAGACCTAGAGACTACGTCTAACCTATCTGAAGAACCAAAGGCCGCTTTCACATTTAGAAAAAAATCCTGTTTATTAACTGTTTTAAGCTATATTATACTCATCAGAGAAGTCTTTTCTCAACCGGCCTGTTACTCACACATCTTATTTATTAGCCCAGTCTTGAATTCTCATTAGCAACAGTCCTGTGAATAATTTTGATGTACAGCCTGAGAATTTAGGGCCTCTGTAATTGCCTACCTTAAAAAATTATGTAAAATTTTCTGTTACCTTTTGGTTATTTACAATTAAGTAATGAATAATAATTATTTCATGGTAAGTTTATTATGTTTAATCATTATTAATATATTATAGATTTGGTAGATTATCGTTGTTATAGATAATACATTTATGGACTGTTTGCTGTTAATTTTTTTTTTAAACAACTGATTTTTGCAGATTTTTATGCGTCAACTCATCTATCTTAATAAAGAAAAATGTGGTTTTTTTTTTGTTTTTTTATAGACATCATGTGGAAGATGAGACAGTCAGGATATTAGATTACATAGATGTGCATCATATACCATACATGTATAGGGGCTGCCTATTTTTATGCTGGCAAGAATGTAACAAATACTATTCATACTTTTGTTTATTTATTATGCAATTATACATTCAGAAATTTAGTTCACCTAGATCATCACTATTTGTAAGTTAAAATTATTTAGCAGGTTTTGTCTGATTCATTGTCAGAGAAAGTCATAAAGTCCGTGAGAAAGACAAAATTAGTATTCGTGCCCAGATGTCAATGTATCACTCATTCAAATTTACTTCATTTCTACTTTCACTTTATGTACTTAATTTCTGTGAGTGTGGACCTTTCTAAATAAGGGGCTAAAATATCATTCCCGTGCCCGCTTAGTTCATCAGTGTTCATAAATCGTAGTTGGAATTTCATGGTAGAACTGCATGTCCAATGTAAGTACAAAATTTATAATGTTCATTATTTAAGATTTCCATTTTAATTACACTACCCTAAAACAAAAAATTCAATTTTTTTAAAGTTAAAAATTAGGTAAAGTCTTATTGTTAGTATTTGAACTTTATTGAGTATGCTGTTCACGTTAACAATTGTGTCAATCTAGCTTTTAAGTTGAATTAAAATTTACAAGAAGAGCAAAAAAAAAAAGTACATAAATTTCATCTGTCAGTCTTAAAGGTTTATTACAAATTAAAAAAAAAAAAAAATTGAGGGGAAAAAATTGAATTGTTAAATAACAAAAAGATATAATAGTGCTATTTACAATAGAAACATACGTAAAATGCCTTCGGGGGAAAAAAGGAAAATCCGTACAACAAGAAAATTTGTTACAAATTTCCAGAACAGAGGATCTCCGTTATTTACAAGGGGCTGCTTAAAAACTGCTAATGCCTATGTTTGTGCTTGTGTCTCGATGAGTGTTTCTTGTGTGAGTGTGGTGGCGACGGCTCGCCGCTTGAGCCCCTCCTGCGTCGTGGAGTGTTCGCATCTGGGCTCGAGCCGCCACGTCTTTTCCTGGAGCTGACCGGCGATCGCCTCCTACCTGGTGAGTTCTTGTGACTCGGTGGTGTCCTTGACCTCCTCCTCCTTCCGTATGGACTCCTGCTCCTTGACCTTTTTAAACACCATGTTAAATATAGATAAAATAGAGTCTTATTATAATTTATTCACCTGTATGATCGCTTTGAAGGAGGCGGACTCAATGAACTACTTTTAGATCTTTTCGATCTTCTACAACCCCTATATTAAAAATAAAAACAAAATCTTTAGCATTTAATTTTGTTTAAACTTTGATAAATAAAGGAGTTTCAGAATGTCTTAGCATTATGTTGGAATGCTGAACAGAAAAAAATTGATACATCCTGTGTATTATTTACCTAGAATCTTGAGAATCTACTGGTGAAGGAGTTCTTTTAAGTTGTGCTTTATCTGTAACTTTATCCTTGTCTACTTTTTCAGACTAAAATAAGCATTTCAATATTAGTATATGAAGACAAAATTATGAATGACATTGCATATTTTTATGTTTTACCTTTCTTAATAATTTTTTTCTATGATGTTCAATTTGTTCAGCTACAGTCCATCCAACTTTAAGAGATCTTTTCCCAGATTCTAATTCATCCTGATATTGCATAACTTTGACCTCGATCTCCCTCAGCCGCGCCCTGCGTATTTCTTCTTGGATATCACGGCTAAATAATAAAAAAAATGATTAAAAAAAGACACTTTAATTTATATGAAAGAAAAATATAACTTTCAGCATACCAGCTGTCTAAACTGTCATCAGGGGTGCAGTTTTCTTGTTGGCTTTGATGTTCATCGGTCGGCTTTCCTTGCTGTTGTTCAATTAGCTCCCATTTACTTGTTGTCATCGCCTGCTGTTCTAAAAGCTCCGGATCGACTGTTTCCCACCGGGAAGGAACAAATGCACCGGTAGGTTGTGTCTTCTTTGACCCAAATTCCATTGGCTTTCCATCGATGTCATCGTCCACTGTAAAATAAATTCAATCAGGAAAATTTTTCACGACTGGTCGTCGCCTGACATACTTGGAATTCCGTCGATATCATCAACATTTGTATGTTTGTAAGCCCCTTTGAGCAATGTGGCACCGTCTAGCGGTACGCCATCGAGGTCATCTTGATCCATCTCCGACCCTAAGTTGTCACATGGTATGCCATCAATGTCATCATCGTGCACTTCACTGCTTCTTCTTGTCTCCTCTTCGTCTTCATGCTACAAACAAAACAAAAAAATAACTCGGCCTAGAATTTTTACATGATCAGCACATACGGTAATCGGTGTTCCGAGGAAGGTCGATTTCAACCTTATGAGAAATTCTCTCGGGTAAACGGCCCAATCATCCCAAGCTTTGAAGATGTTCATAACTCTAACCCGGAAACTTTCGGCTTTTAACCTCGACTCCAAACTGGTATAAGTAATGTGAGCTAAGTAAAATATCTCTAGCAGTCTTGATTCTAGGCTGAAAAAATTATAACATAAACTTGAGTTTTGAGAATCTTGAGGTCTGCTGGGTGATGAACCTGCAGTTTGCTCATTTCTAATAATTTTGTTCTGCCTATACCGAGGCGCATTTCAGTGATTGTGAGAAGCTAAAACATATTAGAAGAGCCAAAATGACAAGGTCAGGCAGAACAATAATCAGAAACGACAAAACTACATCAACTTGAGTATCCAAATAAATAATAAGTCATAAAAAATTACCATCTTCTATAGTAGGAAGCATGAGTTATTTTAATACTACAGTTATGTAGTATGTCTGAAACTAAATATAGTCTGGCAACCTAGAATATAAAAAATTTTAATTAAAAAATACTGTTCAAATCTACAAAATTTCACGTTTATTATAAAAGAAAAATGTTTTTTTCTGACTGCTGTTTTTCCGAAAGAAAATTTTGGAATGTGGAAGAAAATTTACATAATGTATTCACATATCGATTTTTCTGTCAAATTAACCCAAAAATAATTTTTTAATTTTAAATTAAAGTAAAAATTCAAATTAATAGCCTTCTTTATTACTACCTCAAATTAATCTTATTTAATATCCAATTAACACTTTTTAATTTCAAATTTAACCTTTTAGAATTCAATGTAACCCTTTTTAATTTCATTGTAATCCATTTCAATTAATAAAATTCTATTTTTTTTCTTCAAATTAGCTTTTTTTTAAACTTCAAACTAACAATTTTTAATTAACCATTTAATTTGGAGTAATCATTTTTCCACTTCAAATTAGCCTTTTTTAACTTCAAATTAACACTTTTTAAATACAAATTAACTCTTTTTCAATTTCAAATTAACCTTATTTTTTCCTAATGCAAATAGTCTTTTTTTAACTTCAAATTAACACTTTATAATTTCAAATTACCTCTTCATTTCAATTTCAAAGTAACTATTTTTAAATTCATATTAACCTTATTTTAACTGCTAAACTTTTTAATTTGAGATTAACCTTTTTAAACTTCTTTAAACCAAATTTTTAATTCATTATAGCATATAAAAAACTGAAATGATATGATGAAAATTAATTACAAATAAAATAAAAAATTATATAAAAACAATAAATGATTGTTTTTTTTTGTTTTTTTTTGAGATTTTTTAGACAATAAAATAATTGGGCTCTGAAAAACCACAATTTCTTACATGGCTCAAATTAAAAGAAGAATGCTTTCTTTTCATGTTTTGTTTTATGTCATTTTAAATTTGAAATATAATATTTTTCTATTTATTTTGTTATATATTAATGTATTTTGTTTTTACATTTCATTTTTTTTTTTTTTCAAATGCAGGAATTTTCCTTTACATGCTTCCATTTGATACCATCCATAGCTTTAAATGTAGAGTTAATTTGAAAAAAGGTCTTTCAATTGAAAGAAGGTTAATTTGAAATTAAAAAAGTTCAATTAGAAATTAAAAATGGTTTATTTGACCGAAAACTACATCCCTTTAAAAAGAGGACTTTTTTATTAGTGCAGTTTCAACATTGAACAGCTTTGTCATAACTTTTAATGATGACCAGAGATCATAAGGTATGGTTTTTTTGAGTTCAAAATTTTAACACCAACCCTATAATGTAAAAAGAAATCGAGAACAAAGGATGAATAAAAAAAAGGAAATGTGATCGACCTATGTTTAAAAAGCAGTATGATTTTACATTTTATGTTTTATGTATAATGGTTTTGTTAAATAGTGAAGTGTATATTTCAATGATTCGTGCTTGCTGAAGGTGGAAAAAATATATGAATTATCAACCTTTCCTATTGTATCAAAATTTAAAATACTAACCTTCTTGTACAAGAGTGTATCAGGATTACCAAGTGATTCCACAATGCAATCGCAGATTTCATCAGCGGCCTCTGAGTGTTCAATACAGAATACCATGGCATCGGCTACCTTCATCCTTTCAGGGGTCATGTGACGGATGAGCTGCTCGAGACGGTCGCGCTGAGCTGGCGAGAGCCCACCCTTGCGATCATCGTCCTTTTCGATCAGCTCTTCAGGCATTCCCTGAGTGTAAAGGTTCAATGGTGGGGGCCGCCATATTGAACCGTCTGAAGAATTAATAAATTTTTAATAAAAGTAATGAAATAAACTGTAACAAATCTGTTTAAATTTTACTTTTGAACATTCTGAACTCTTGTAACCTCCATTCCTTCTGAGAGTCGCCTTGCAACAGAGAGAAGAGCTTCCAACGGTAGTAGGTGTGTGCAGGAGATTGGTTATCAAACAGAAACCTACAGAAACATAATTAAACCATTTAAATTTAAAATTATTAAAACACAACTTAAAATGCGCCTTAAAAGTAATGGTAATTTTGATTTTTTCCCATCTAGGTTGCCATAATTTTCCAATTTTCTAGTTAATTGTTTAAGTTAATGTGGTGTGATTCGAGACTCAGCAACTTGAACATTTTATACAGTGACCCTTAAGGTGTTAAAACATTCAGCATTTTACAGAAATGAACATGAATTTTAAACAAATTGTCAATAACTGTTTATTTATATAGATTCACAGCAGTTTTACCCTTTGTTCACATAATGGCACAGACTGTTTAATCATTATCTGGAATATTTTCAGAAATGGAAACCAATAACACATACCTTGATCTATCTTTATAAAAAGTATAAAAAGATAGTTCCTACTCACATTTTGTGTCACAATTACAAACTGTGGGGGGGCTGAAATGACCTATATGTCAAAAGCCCGTCAAAAAAAAAAAAAAAAAACTGAGTTAGGAACTATATTTTTATTTCCATACTTGATCGCCCGATCATCCTGGCCATTCTCGTTGGTTTTGTCTGTTCAATGTGTTTCAGGGTTATTTTGTACGTTTATATAAAAAAGTATTTTAAAAAACCAACCACTGATGATGACGTAAGGCATAAATGTGTTGAGAGATAAAATGTCAAGAAGTATATGTTTGTTGTTTTTATTTTGTCTTAGGCCAAAACCATACTGAATTAGTGAAAACAGCCTGGGGCTGTGTCAGCAGGTTTAAAGCAAAATGAGATAGCGGTTTTAAGAATACACTCAAGAGAAAATGAAACAGACATTTTGTTTACTTCAGTCTGCACAAGTCACAATTTTTCTTCATTTAAATTTAAAATGAATTACAGCAATAAAGATTTAAAATAATTAAAAGAATAAAGCAATAGTCAAAACTGACAAATTGTGGATTGATATTTCACAAGAGATGGGAGCAATGTATAGACCAAGTTCTTTCAGGTTTATACACATTTATTTATTTATTGGGTTTCGCTTTAGGACCTAATATTATATATTTAGAGGTCAATATTAGCCATTGCCATAAAACTGGAACACTATCACTCTTTTCTTCATCTGAAGATATTATAGTACACAAAAGGAGTCTGAAGGTTCAAAATAACTCAATTTTTTTTTTTTTTTTTTGCCTGCAGTGTGGTTAGACATGCAGTCATATTCAGTCACAAGTAAATATTTTGTTTCGGCTTTCTTCAACAGAACTGACTACTCCGGTGTGTTTTCAGACTCTTATGTAATGTTTCCTATTTCAATTGATGACTTTTCTGGCTTTTGTAAATGTCACGAAGAAGCATTCTTCTTTGGACTGAAACCCACATTTCACTGCAACCCTGGATTTATACAATATTAGGACAAATGATTATTTGGAGTTTGTGAGATGCGGTCTGGCGTGATGTAAGTTTAAAAAAAAACATTTTCTTTATCATGCCAACGTTTCGATCTTTATTTAGATCATCTTCAGGGCCTGGGATTTACAAACATTGATTACCTTACACACATACACATACATGTAAGTTGTGAAAATGAATTTATACAATTTACACAAGTAGAAATTTTAGGTTTAATCAAAGTATTTGTATTCACTCAAAGTGTGTTTTCTTTGTAGATGTCACAGTTGTGTGCCGTTGGGAGTGGTAGTTATATAAATATTTTTTGCTTATATACGTTTTAATTTGAAGAAGTGGGGAAGGAAGTAGGGATTGAAATTCATTTTTCTATGAGGTGAAAGGGGCCGACAATGGGGAAAAAAGGGTAATGGTTTGTCATCTCATCAACTCCAAATAATCATGAATTAACGGTCACTCAAAACATTAGTAAAAATTTGGGGACCACATTGTCCATGTTACAGTCTCCGACTTTGGGAAAAAAAATGAATTTATACAACGCTTATGTATAAATTCATTTTTTGTAATCTAAAATTTTCTAGCATTGTATAAATTCATTTTTTTCACATCCTAAATGTATTTGTAAAATTTAAACAATGTTTATAAATCCCAGGCCCTGAAGAATATCTCAATAAGGATAGAAATGTTGGCATGATAAAGAAAATTTTTTTTTCTAAAAGCTACGTCACATCAGACCGCATCTCACGATCTCCAAATAATTATTGGCTAACTGTCACTTAACACCACACACACTATTACATATTATCCAGCCAGTAAAAGGAAACACCAAAGAGATATAGAATAATATTATAAAGTGGTTTGGCCCTGTTTTTTAAGCAGGTCATCAAATCCTTGGGGTGTGTTTTTGAGGAAGGGGGAAAAGTCCTATGTTGAGATTGAATGCAAGGCTGCTAGATGCAAACCCAGGACCTTTACTTTACAAAGATCAGCACCATGTCAACTTCTAAAGGGTTGCATCCATTGAAGCCCCTGGCAGGCATTATGGGCTTATAAAATAATCTGAAGCGTTTTTCAATAATGCAATTTTATCCCTTTTGTGTTTTGAAGCAATGTTTACACGTTGTCATTAGTTTTTACAAAGTTAGAAATGAGATTAGTTAAGGTGTTTTTTATTCGTCAATTTCCTTTCAGATAGCACATTTTTATAGCAATTTTTTCTAATTTAAAATGGAGGGAAAGTATTTCATTTGTTCACTTAATGGAGGTTTTTATTACCAGAAAAGGAAGAGCCTGAATAGAAAGCACTGTTCATGAGTGGTCTGCTCAGTTTAGAAGCAGAAATTATGATTTCAAAGACTCAAATAGATAGTTTGTCTTTCAACCATTCATGAAAAACAAATGCTGGCTTTTGTCACAAATAACCCACATTCAACTACATGAGCCAACTACATATCTCATAAAAAATGTTTCGAAGCATCTGAGAGCAGTTGGATCTGTTTGTCACAGTGATATATGGGTTTCTCACATGTTTACTGAGAAGAATTTATTGGATTTGATCTCCATCTAGAAATCCATCCTAAAATGCAATGTGAGGCCCATTTTTTTTTCTCAAAATTAATAACTGGGAATGAAAAGTGAGTCCTTCATAATATTCACTGAGGAAAATCTTGGTTAAATGCACAACCCTTGAAGGCAGCTTACATCCCAAGAAGATAATATGCATTTAGTGGGCTATAGAAAAAGAGCATTATTATGAATTCTTCTGCCCAGACGAACCATTAATTCTAGTTGACTGGAAGCAAATGGAACTTTAAAGTCAGTAGTTTACCAAAAATCACCACCATTGGCTTATTTTCTACCAGGATAGAGCTCACCCCACATTTCTTGACAGACGTACCAGAAATTGTTCAATCTTGGCTGGGGTGTGCTACTCCACCAAATGCGTTTGGCTGACATTGCCTCTTTATTTTCACTTATTCCAGGCTCTAAAAAACTCTTTAATGGAAAAACTTTGCTTTAGGACTGCAAAAAGCACATCAAGGAGTTAATCGCTAAAAAACCTGAGAAATTTTGGGAGGACAGATTTACAAAATTACATGGAAAATGGCTACAGCAACAAAATGATTCATATATTGTTGATTAAATTTGTTAACAAGTACATTAAATTTTAATCTTGTCAGACAAAACCAGCGAGAATAGGCAAACCAAGATCAGAGACAAACTCATAAACCTTACCACAATATTTCTCCAATAATGAAACATAATAACAATTTATCATTTTTAATAGAATAACAGTTTCTTTTAAATATTTGTAGATAGATTTTCAAATATTGGTTCTAGTTTTACTATTCTTGCTTAATCCAGCAATTTAAAAACCTTTGAACATGGCTTCATAAATAACTGTATATTCTAGGAAATAGCTGAAATTTTAAAATATTTGAACTTCGTTAAAGTTTAAGGAGATGATTCAATTAAATTGGATGAAAGAGCTAGGTCTTGTCCATTTATTTATGCTGTTTCTTTAATTTACTCTAAAGTTAGTTCAAAAGTGTTTTAATGGGTTTTAAATTATCCCTCGATCATATTTCAGAATTTGTTCGTTTTAAATATTGGTGATTTTGATTTTATCCGATTTAAAAATGTTTCCTCTAAGAATAGCCTATCACCGCTTTAAAATTACCAGTCATACATTTCTATATTAAATACTAATAGAATGAAAATTGTATTTACCTGAACATAGGGTTGTTGATTTCTCTGTTCATAATCATGGCCTCGAACATAGGTCCTTCCCGGATCACATATTCTATCATTCGGTGGATCAACATCAACAGGTTCCTGCCAATATACAATAACATTCTACCACTCATCCCCAAATACCCAAAAAGTAAATAATGAACCCCAGAAAATTATTTTTAATTTACTACTAGAAATCATCTTAAAAAACAAAGAGTATAAAAACTAAATTTGATTTGGCTGACATGCAATGAATGAAAATTTTAATTTGTATTTTTCTTTTGAATTAAAAATTTTTCTTTTATAAAAATTTAGCTTTGAAAAAAGTTAGGGAATTTAAAAAAAAAGTAAAAAAATAAAAGAAAAGTGAAAAATAGAATTTTCATTTTTCAATATTTTTTTTGTCGGTCCAAGACTGCCTCAAGTTTTTTCCTCTCCCTCTTATCACTTAAATTCTCTTGAGTGTCTCTCTCTCTCCCGTTCGACGGGCAGTCTTCCCTGGAACTGACATATATACCTTACCTTAACGTAATACCTTGGAAGTGACCTTACCTGTCGGTCGGGATAACCACTTTGACGAGTGCCTGGGGTAAAATCTGTGACAAAAGCAGCAGAACACATTACACACCAGGACTTTGACCAAGAGCACTCATAAAAAGAAAAAGTCATAAATACACACATTCACGCACGCATGCATACACTCACACACCCACTCACACACACACCATTCTCACACAGGAAACATTTAGTTAATTTTATTAAAAATGAAGCATTAAGTTAGAAAAGTACATCAATGTAACATAATTTTTTGAATGTCTCAAATATTCTATTTAACATATTAATATATGTCAGATTAATTTTTATGCTTAACAAAACAAATCTCGGGAATTTGAAAGTTGATGTGGAACTAGTAACTTTATAAATTATTAAATCTGACAATGAATGGAACTTTCTTCAATTTTTTGCAGATCAACTATCAAATTTTGAAGAAATTAAGGAAATAAAAGAATGATGTCAAAAATGTGAAAATGACATCAATATTTTTTTTTAATATAAAACAGCATTCCAAAATTTGAATTAAAAAAAATTATAGACAAAGCAAAAAAGTATGCTACTGCTGTACTTAACAGGAATGAAGCAATTTAAAGTAAAGAAAAATTAAGAAAAAAAACACTTATTTTGAATTTAAACAATTTGAGAATGCAATAATAAATAAATGTACAGTCAAACTTCCCCAAAATGGACACTTCTAATAATTGGACATCCCTCAAGACCAGACAGCTTTATCTTTCCTGCTTTCCTGGCATTATTTTGTTTACTCTACTAAAAGTATTTCTAATAAATGGAAATTCTAATAAATGAAAACAGACACTATGAATTTATTGATAAATAAGCCTTTTTGTAAGGGTAAAGTTTATGGTTAACAATCAGCCACTTTAAGACCAATATTTGGTCTATCCGATTTCCATTATCATCTAGAGCTCTTTGTTAAGCTTAATGATTTTTTTTTTTGCTGCCAGATCCCAAGGTTTGTAAGGACCCCACTTTTTGACTTCTCCTCTCCCAGGAGTAAATCCTTGTCTGGATAAGCCTTCGTACAAACAGAAGATATCAAAGGAAGCAGGCCTAAACTTCAAATCCTAGCAGGATTCCAAACAGAACACTACTGATTGAATCGGCATCTGAGGAAGATTGGTGCAATCCAACACAGTACACGCAGATTCTGCAAGGAAGCAGAACAACCAGTGCATCTACTAACAAACTGTGGTGCTACACTTGCCCATAGGAGGAAGTTCTTTTGAACGTTACTTGATGGTTTTGAACCATAAAAGAAAAAACACCATTGAAACCAGGACTAATTTCATGATTTAACTCGGATTCACCGGTACTGAACGGGGATACAGTAATCTCAATAGGTCCCAGTATAATACACACCTCTAATATTACAAATACATCTACACCTAAAGGAGATTTTTCTTTTTCTTCCTAGCAATCCAGCACAGGCTTGTTTCAGTTGCTCCGAGTTTACAGTATGACTCCTGAGTCTGCATTGTCTAATGAGCAGTCCTACTTGCACTCTAGTCCTAGGTTTAGTAGTTGTTGTTTCTACAGCAGTAAATGCCTTTCACCTGGAATACATTTTTATTTAACCATGGACTTTTTTTTAATCCAGTGTCAAATGGAATCTTGTTTTTAGTAACATTAGGTATGCTGTAAAAGGGTTCAGGGGGATAGGTGTCCTCATCCATTTCCTTGGCCAATTTACTCGTCCTCTCTTCCCTAGTAGGGGCAAATTTTGTCCCAATGCCTGTCAGGGCCTTGATGCAATTCCAGACAGCTTTGGATTTTACTATAGATGAGGTAGTTAACTTTAGTGCCACTTGACTATCATTAGATAGCTATGCTTTTGTTATACCCTCTTGCAGACTTCTTGGCACAATGTTGAACAGTCACAGTCTTCACCTGAAACATTGCGGCATATTGTCCAAAGCTTATACGAATTCTAGTCCTTGGTTTATTGCCATATTCAGCCTAACCATAAAAAAGTCTCTTGTAAGAAGACAGCAAAAAGAAAAACTCAGGATCCAGTTCTCAGACTGTGATTGTGACAAGACGATGTGGAGATAAATGCTCAAAAGTAACTCTTTCTGTCAGAGAAAAGGTTAAGTCATGCAAGTCCACGAGAAAGAGAAAATCAGCTTTCATGTGCATTTATAATTCTGTTCGTATTCAATTAATTTTTTATGGAGATACCTAAGATTTTTTCAAAATGTGGATCCTTATAAATATTCATGTGTGGTGTCCACTTATGGGAAGGTTGACTGTAATTGTTCATAAAATATACAACATTCATGTACAAGGTAATTGAAAGTAATGAACTGGATAAAACGATAAACTAATCATCTAAAGGTAGGTAAAACAATTATTTTTATATCATAAACTGCGATAATTTGATTTTGTTTGAAAAAATAATCTAAGAGTGGTTAAAAGTAATTATTTTTGTATAGATTAAAACAAAAAATATATATACTTCATGTATCAATCACGCACATTATCAACACTGATCATCGTTCGCTCTCAATGATTACAATAAACAATATTAAGAATAAACATTAAGTGTGATACACCATTCCTTTTTTTCCCTCTTGGCTCCTTCTCTGAAAAAATGTACCACTCACCCTTACTTACCAGACTCGTCTCATAAAAATTTAGTTTACTAGATGATGGTGTTATTTGATTTTAAAATTGTCAAGTGTAAATATTAGCATGCACAATTTTAAAAATATTTATTTTATTGATATAACCTGGTTTAATGAGAATTACCTTCTCCACTTTGTCCATGTCCTCAGGATTAACTGGGTATGGCTCATTTGTCTTCATTCTTGGCACCTTTACAACAATGAAATAAAATTATTGAATACAAAAAGCTGATTCACAATAGATGACTTACTCGATTTCTATCTCTAGGATGCGGCTGGGCATTGAAAGGCAAACCAGAAGGTGGTGGCGGTTGGGTAAGAGACAGGAGGTTGGGAGGAATGTATATAGGGAAAGGGGGAATAGGTACAAATTTGCCCCAACCCAATTTCATCTCGTAACCAAGAATATCTTTTCCTGAAACCACACCCAAGCGTTGAAAAAAAAAAAAAAAAAAAAAATTCAGGGCTATAATAGATTATTACCGTTTAGCGCTTTCATCGCCCTGTCCCCATCTTTTCTATTCATGAAAGCGACGAACCCACAGTTCCTTCCTCTCGACTTCTCCTCATCAGAACGAGGCCACATGATTTTAATGCTGGCTAAAGGTCCGTATTTGCCAAACACTTCCATTAACTGTTGTTCTGTAATCTATCCAATAAAGGAACGAACACCGAACAAGCAAAAAACAGAAAACAAAAAACTTCTTTTAAACCCACTTCGTTATAGAATTTCAAACAAATTATATTTTTCAAGATATTCTTACAATAATGGAAAAGGAAATTTTACAGGGATTTTACCTTTTGTCTGAAAATGTGAATGTTAGGATTTTTTAAAGTAAAGGTTGTTTACCTTTGGGTTGATATTTCCCAGGTAAATGTTTGTTGTGTTCGGATCCCCACAATCGAAAGAACCTTTTTCTTCCGGCAAAACACCAGCTGAACAATTATGTAAACATTTTAATTTGTGTAAACAATAAATTAAAAGGACAATAATTTGTATTAAGGGAGTCTCCCTTTTTGACTTAGTCTTTCTTCCAAAAGGTTCTTACAGTTTTTTACAAAATCAGGGTCAACGACGGCAGCTTTGATGGCTCCCTTGTATTTATGCCGTTCTTCCCGTTCTTCTTGTATCCTGAAATTTCAAAAGACAATCAACAAAAAAACTTTATAAAGAAAAACCTATATCAATTCGCTTTATATTACATTTTTAATTCTTCTTTGAATAATTCAAGATTGCTCTTCTTTTTTTCTTTTTCTTTCTTTTTGCCGGGTCGCTCCGGCTTGGACCTTTCTCCGAGTAGTTTAGCGTACTCTTGAGCCCGCTCAGCGGAGTTCTTCTCTGGGAAGTCCAATCGTGACTGAGGTTTGTATAGTTTACCTTTTTCTTTAGTATCTTCCTCTAAAATTTAGATTAACAAATTCAATCATTATTACGCTCACTGAATATTAAAATGACTTAAATTTGGTTGTTTCTCATACAATAAATTTAACCTGTTTGATATTGCAGTGGCATTCATAAAAGTTTTATTAATGAAAAGGCCACAGATTAAATAAAAGCACAAAGAAAAGGGTGCAAAATTTGATTATTATTATTTTTTTTTTAATGGATACCAGGAACTAGAGGAGTTTCCCCTTAACTTCTTTCCTGACTTCATTTATGAGAGATTGCAACACGCATTTTAATTTGAGCCCCCGGTGTGCCTGTGTTCTTCAACCGAAAGAAACTCATTTTTGAAGGGGTAGGAATCAAATGTAGGGTTGTTGAGAGCTATTCAGCCCCAGACCATCCATTCATGAGTGCCGTGTTTTTTTTTTTTTTTTTTAATTGCAGCCACCGGTCCCCTTAGGCATCAGAAAAAGTCTAGAGACAATGGTGGGAATCGAACCCATGGTTGTGGGATCTACTAGCCAAGAGTCTGATGTGTTAACCACTCAGGTAGCGTGGTCACATTGTGTTAAATAGAGGGGGGGGACAAGGAAGAAGAAACTATTATTTTTGTAGATGAATGTTACAAGAGTGGAAATGGTACTAGTGAAATGTTAACATGTTCACTCTGCACGTATTTGATATGACTTGGTGTTACTTGATTCATGTCTGTATGAAGGATGGGCTACTTGAATCAACTAGTCACCAAAGGTTTGCTCCATCATGCATCCAAACCAACTAAGTTAAGTTGAATTTAGGCATTCCATCATGCTTCAAACCCAAGCCCTACTATCACTTGGTCGTTCCATCATCTTTTCAGACCAGGTTTGTCAGTGGTCAAAACAGTCCAAGGATTTTACTAAGGACTGACAGTCAAAGACATGAGCAGATGTTTCCCAATGCTTTCACTCTTGTCAAATCGCAAAGTTCTTATTCAACAAGGGACTGGATTTATATGTGACATAAAATATAAATAATGCTCATATATTATGTTTTGAACAAATATCCAAGTAAAAAAAATTAAATTAAAACTCATTAAATTCACTAATTTCGTGGTCCGCTTGACCAATTAAATCATTACAATTAATTAAGGTTTTTAGTTGAGATGAAAAAAAATTAATGGCACGAGAGGGATTCGAACCCACGACCTTCGGCTAGATACGCCGCTGCTCCACCACCTGAGCTATCGTGACCTCGATCCACTCGGCAAAATGAGGGAAAACTCGTAAGGTGGGGTTGGGATGGGGAGTTGATGTCCGAGTGGATCGAGGTCACTATAGCTCAGGTGGTGGAGCAGCGGCGTATCTAGCCGAAGGTCGTGGGTTCGAATCCCTCTCATGCCATTAACTTTTTTTCATCTCAACTAAAAACCTTAATTAATTAAATTAAAACATTTAGTTATGCTTAAAAAAAAATTGCACATATTAGTTGAAAAATGTGTAAAAAGGAAGAAAAGACAAAGTTAATAAAATACAAAATAGACAATTTATTTGAAATAACACGTTTTTAAATTTTCAAAAATAAAAATGTATCTTTCTATCTTCCTAGTGCTAGTGATAAAATAAATTTAAAAAAAAAAATTACAAGTGAAATTTTTTAACAAAATCATAAATGGTGAGAAAAAATTAAAAACATTAATATCTCACAACCTCTCAACACAACACACAACCATGACACATCTTAACAGAAAACACAACGCACACTAAGTGAGTACAAATACTTTGATTAAACCTAAAATTTATATAATTTATTAATTAATTGTCACATATTTGATGTATTTGTTCAATTTAAACAATGTTTATAAATCCCAGGTCCTGAAGATGATCTCAATAAAGATCAAAACGTTGGCACAATAAAGAAAATGTTTTTTCTAAACCTACGTCACACAAGACTGCATCTCATGATCTCCAAAAATAATCATTGGAAAGAGTGTTCCATCAGAGTTAATGTGATAATGATGATGAGGCAATGTTGGGGCATGCGCAGCCATAAATCACGGATTAATTGGCAACTGGTTGGATGGAACAAACCTCAAGTCTCTTGGTGTCACACGGCTGGTGACCAGATCCGCATATCCCTGAGCCAGTAGCCTCCTTAAGCTGTCTCATACTAGTACGATACAAGGTCAGATTCTTTATCAATAGACCTGATGCCATTTCTACTAGGTTGTAATGTTGCATTTACATATTCACACGAGCAGCGAGTTGAACCGTGAGGCGAGTGATGGGGTCGTGTAGATGACCTCACTGCTCACAGTGCTCGTTCTGGAAACAGTTTTCTGGGGACGCGTCAAAGGTTCACATTGGTAAACTGAAGTCAGCGAGTGTGTAAATGGCCACTCGTGCTATGGGGAATGAACGTGCGAATACCTCTCGCAAAGGTAGAGAGTGACAAGGCCAGCCACGAGCGCGAATGTTTAAATGCGACATAAGGAATGAGACCGAAACTGATTAAATTTGATAAACACTTACGCCTTTTGCCGGCATCGTAAGTCCCAGCTTTGACCCAGACTTTGTTCGTTTTAGTCGGGGCTTCTTGAAACGTGGCCACGAACTCCTCGAAGGCCTGAAAGCGGAGAAACGTTTGTTATCGGAGTGTAAAATAGGTCACAAAAAGGTCGAGAAAGATCGCAGTCTATACCTGAGCGGCGGCCTTTTCCTGTTCTCTTTTCTTGTTCTCTTCTATCTCCCTCTTTGAAAGCTGCCTCTTGCCCATCGTCCCGATGGAAAAGGCCTTCAGCTTCTGCTCCGGGATGTGCTGGAAGACGGAGAAAATATCAAATAAAATCACAAATTGAAGGAAAAACTTTTTTTACGTCTTTCCGATCCTTGTTTGTAAATTTGGGTTAACTCACTTTGAGCACTTTATCGGCCATTTTCGAGCGATTTTCCCTCGGACGGCGACAAAATCAAAACGACATCGAGTTAAGACCACAGATCAGCGAGACCAGACGGACAACGGCTTCGGCTTCATCGACATAAAAAGGCATTTTTCCACGGAAAAAAACAAAAAAAAAACGAGAGACGGTGCGAAACGCTTATCCGACTTGACTCGAGTTGACTTTTTCGCCGCTGACGCTAACGCCTGCTGGATCGATGGCTGGGAATTTTCATTTTCCATTCATTGTCGTTTTCAATCAAAATCAACTGTTCACACTCTTTCACCTATTTTCCAAGTCACAAAATAAAAAAATTTTAAAAATTCAACTTTACAAAGATAAACTTTGATAAATTCACTCCCGGAAGAAGTCACGTCACGAAAATAAACCCGATAAAAACTTATACATTTAACAAAAAAAAAAAAAAATCTAGCCAGTAGCCAGTTTGTTAAATACAATTCAAAAACGAAACTATGTCACTTTTCCTTAACAAAAACCGCATTTCATTGACCTCATTAAAACATGGTTAATTGATTAGCAATGGTGTCAATTTATTGACAAGCCTCCGCCAAACTTCAATCAAATGAATAAATTATCTTTCAATTGAGAAATTGAATGTTACAATATAATTTATTATTGACATTTGAGTGTAGAAAATGTTCGTGGTGATTTTAAAACCCGCACTCACTCACCCAGTTTCTCACCCTTTGTCATTCCTCAAACCCCTGCTCTTCTCATTTTTCCCCACCCATTTCTCTCTCACCTCCTCACTTTCTCACTCACTCACTCACTCTCACTCACTCACTCACTCGCTCTCTCTCTCTCTCTCTCTCTCTCTCTCTCTCTCCTCTCTTTATTTGCTGCTGTTTCTCACTCACACTCTCTCTCATCCTCTCACCTACATGCATCACTCTATTTACCCTGTCTTCCCTCAGTCTTTTGGTTTACAACTATACATCTCTCTCTCTCTCTCTCTCTCTCTCTCTCTCTCTCTCTCTCTCTCTCTCTCTCTCCCTCCTCTCTTTATTTGCTGCTGTTTCTCACTCACACTCTCTCTCTTCCTCTCATCTACATGCATCACTCTCTTTACCCTGTCTTACCTCAGTCTTTTGGTTTACAACTATACATCTCGCTTCTTACTCTGTCTTCTCTCTCTCTTTATCATTTCTTAGTATCTATCTATCTATCAATCCTCTCCCTTTCTTCTCTCTCTTTCCTTGCTCTTTATCATCCCTCTGTATCTATCTATCAACTATCCTCTTCATTCCTCTCTCTCTCTCCTCCCTCACTCTTTATCATCTCTCTGTATCTATCTATCAATGTATCCTCCTAATTCCTCTCTCTTTCTTTTCTCTCCTCCTTCACTCTTTATAATTTCTCAGTAATAATAATAATAATAATAAAACTAAGATAGAAGGTTTGGGATGTTAGGGCGTGAAATGACCTTAGCCGTTAAAACGCCCTTAAAAATTAATAATAATAATAATAATAATAACGAATAGGTCACATCAGGCTAATCCATAATAGGCAACAATCTTCCAACTTGTCCTCGATGTATACGAAGTGGAGTACATATCATTCTGACAGTAAAACATATTTTGGTCGACTGTTCCACTTTGCAACCCTTTAGGTTGCAAGTTCGAGTGATTTACAGGAGTTACTGGGTCCCCATTGTTTTTTTTTGAAGAGCACTTTTCAGTTTTCTCAAATTTATTGGAATTTATAATGATGTTTAGGCCTTTTTCCAAATTGTTATACCATTCAACGTTTGCCTGCTAATGTTTGAATGAGAGTTGTGTGTGCAAGATTTCTTTTTTCAGAAGTTTTTGAGGCTGCCGGAGCGGAAAAATGAAATGGAAAAAATACAAATTGCGGGGTAATAAACTGCAATGCCCAAAATCCCAATTTAAATAAGAAAGATAGCTTCCTCAAAAAAAAAAAAAAAAGAAAAGAAAAAAAAAAGGATAAAGCAAAAGAAGTGTTACTGGGTTTTGTTTCTTATTATTATTGTTATGTAGAATTAGTTTATTTATTTTATTTGAATGGAAGAATAAAATGATAAGGATGAGCCTATACTCATGCTGAGACTGTTGCTAGTCTGACTCCATTATTATTATTAGCCAAACAAGCCTATGGGAAATGTTTAAATTTTGGAACAAAAATTCAGAATTCTAATTAAAAAATAAAATAAAATAAAATAAAAAATAAATTTTACATGTAATTTAAAATGTGAGTTTTGCATACATTTGGCCTTCCAAATTAAGAATTTTAAGAGGATAAATTAAAGCTTGGATAGCAATAGGATAAATTAGTCTACGAGTGAATGTTTGGAGTCAGAGCTTTATAGCACTCAGAAGAGATATAGCTAAACTAAGATAGAAGGTTTGGCATGTTAGGGCGTGAAATGACCTTAGCCATTAAAACGCCCATAAAATTATTAATAATAATAATAATAATAATAATACTTTATTTGACAATTAACATAAATAAAAAATTCATTACATTTCGTGGTCCTATTGACCAAATAACATCTTTCAATTAATTATTTATACCTTACATAAAGATTAATTAATTGATAAATAACAAAGCATACCATTTTAAAAAAATATAAGTATTTACAGCAATGGAATATCCGTCTTGGAGTCGACATTACTGATAACAGATAATGAACTAACCAATAAAATGCAATAATATTCCCTGTGCTTTATAATATAATCTGAAAGAAAAATAATAGAAAAACAAAATAATCTGGTAAACACAGAACAAGATAGATTTATATACCATTGATTAAGTAAAAATATCTTCTAATAAATCAATAATTGAACTCTTGTACCAGTTCCCAGCAATAAAACCAGGGGTGATGAGCAAATTTTATTAGCTGCAGGCTTGGCTCTCTGTGGTCTGTAATCTCTCTGAATCTATCTAACAATTTATTCTCCTAATTCCTCTCTCTTTCTTTTCTCTCCCCTCCTTTTCTTTCTTCTCCCTCCATCACTCTTTATCATGTCTCTGTATCTATCAATTTATAATCCTCATTCCTCTCTCTTTTCTCCTACCTGACCTTTTATCATCTCTCTATTCCTATCTATCAGTTTATCCTCCTCACTCATCTCTCTTTCTCACTCTTCATTGGATGAGAATTGAACGTTTATTCCAGATTCATTTATGTTCAGTGGTCTTGACCAATTTACTTATTTCACTTAATTATTCTTTTTATGTAAGGTCTAGGCTGAGATAACCTTTTTCAAAATTCACCAATTTCGTGGTCCGCTTGACCAATTACTATATTACAATTAATTAAGGTTTTTAGTTGAGATAAAAAAGTCAATGGCACGAGCGGGATTCGAACCCATGATCTTCGGCTTGATACGCCGCTGCTCTACCACTTGAGCTATCGTGACTTCGATCCACTCGGACACCAACTTCCCATCTCAACCCCACCTTTTGAATTTTCCCTCCTTTTTGCAATTTTTCAAATGTCGTGTAATCGGATTGGATTCTCGACGACAATTGAAATGGCCACGGTGAGCTTTAGTGTACTTCATTTTAAATCATTAAATTCACTAATTTCGTGGTCCGCTTGACCAATTACTATATTACAATTAATTAATGTTTTTATTGAGATAAAAAGATTGTGGATCTAGGTCACGATAAACTATAATTTTTGGCTCCATGCTAACGAAACCTACATGAAAACAAAAACAAAAGGTTGGTAATACCAAAGTAACAACTAACAGTGCCAAAGTACTTACTCCTCACAAGTTGACTGACCTGCCGTCGCCAGATCCTCCGAAGTCTTTCCTTCTTCCATATTTATAGCAATGAAACAACAAATTCGCACAAAAATTCACTGCGTAGAAATAGTGATTGTTTATCGTTTTTAGACGTAACAAGGAACAACCAATAGCGGCGGTTACTTAGAAGTAAGAGTCTGGCATACCACGACAGGCAAGGTAGTAGGTACCAAAGGTCGCGGGGTAGGGTTTATCCCCACGCACAAAATTTAAATTCCCACCACTTTATTTATTTACTTACGGATCGAAATCCACTATAAAAAAAGACGTTTTACAATAACAAAAAATACAAATAATATATGTAAAAATACAAATAGTATATATAAAAAGAATAAGGACATATATACATGGTAATAATATTGTAAGCGGACGGCGTGGCGGCCGAATATCTCTCGATATTCGCTTGTTTTTCTCCAAGCGACAAGAGATGAGTCGGCGTAAGCGCGTCGCTACTTATTCTTGTGTAGGGGAAGGTAAGGACTAAGGTTCCAGAATTCAATAAACCAGAGAACGTATTCAGTAACATTTATTGTACACAATTCCGTCTCTTAACGGTACGCAAACCACAGAATCTTAATTATTCTACAAGTCAGCTACAACTCTAAATCTGGGATGAGTCTATCAACAAAGGGTCTTACCCCAAACGATGCTCACCACGATATCAGTGTCCACAGCATCTCTTCTCTCGACCTCTGACTTGGCTGATCCTCGCTGGCTCTGGCTGGCTGAGTCCTCTTGTTGAATCCCAGACAGAGTGTGGCTGCTTCTCTCCTGGTCCTTGGTCTTGACTGCCTGGGGGTGAGTCTCGGATTTTGTCTCAGGCCAGTCTTCCGAGGTGGCTCCTGAGAAAGTCCCTGATCTTGACTGCCTGGGGTGAGTCTTGTATCTTGACTGCATGGGTGAGTCTCGGATTTTGTCTCAGGCCAGTCTTCCGAGGTGACTCCTGAGAGAGTCCCTGGTCTTGACTGCCTGGGGTGAATCTTGTATCTTGACTGCCTGGGTGAATCTCGGATTTTGTCTCAGGCCAGTCTTCCGAGGTGGCTCCTGAGAAAGTCCCTGGTCTTGACTGCCTGGGATGAGTCTTGTATCTTGACTGCCTGGGTGAGTCTCGGATTTTGTCTCAGGCCAGTCTTCCGAGGTGGCTCCTGAGAGAGTCCCTGGTCTTGACTGCCTGGGGTGAGTCTTGACTGGGTCTTGGTCTGCCTGGGGTGAGTCTTGTATCTTGACTGACTTTTGATTTTCCAGTCATCCCTTTTATACCGGGTCTCTCCCGGAGTAGGGGTGGAAAGTAAACTCAGAAGTCGGGGGAGTTCTCACACCGCGTCTGGGCCGGCAAAGACGGCGGTCTAGCACAGGGTTGACGTATTCCCAATTTACGATGTCCTCTGTTCTTACCTCACTGTCTACCTGGGTAACCATTTCCAAGCTACATTTGCCAGA